ATAAAAAAATTTCAATTGAAAAAAAAAAAAATTTTTCGCGCAGTATAATCTGGATTTTTTTTAACTATCTAACTTTCTTCTTTTTTCACTACAGATATCACTGAGTATAATCTGGGATTATATCCAGTGTCATCTTGTTATTTCCGTGTACATACTTTATATAAAAATATTTAAAAACCATGAAGAGAAAAAAATTATTATTATCATTATTTAAAAGTAAAAAAAATTTTTTTAATATAAATAAATACACACATATGTATAAAAAAAATTATATATAAATGTCTGGGCCTCTTTGAAAATAAAACTCGCGCATTATATTATTATACGATGAATAAAAATTAATGCGCAGGTATATGACCAAAAGTGTGTTGTTAAACATTAAATAGATGTATATATCAAATAAAAGTAAAAAACTATTTAATCCAAAATGTTGGGATACATATTGAGAGTTTTAATAAATATTGATATTTATATAAAAAATGTATTATACACACATGAGCTCCTGAACAAAAGGAAAAAAAATGTGACCCAAATATAAGATATTTTTAAAGGTTGAATAGAATAAAAATAATTTTTTACTTTATCGTTTGCGCTATAATGATGGATGAAATAATTAATTATTTTTATAAACGCAATTTAATGGCTCTGGTCACGTGGTTGATGAAAAAAACTTTATAGTAATAAATTGGATACTTAAAACTCGAAATCAGAAAGTTTAATTATATAATTAATTGGCCAATACACGTGAGTCGGGAGTACCGAATTGGAATGAAAAAAAAATTTAATGAAAAATATTTATTCAGTGAGTGTAAATATTTAAAGGTAATTTATTTAATTAATTTTGATGTTAAATTAAAAATTTAGGCATTTATATGAAATATTTGACTCACCTTGTGACTAATAAGATTAATAATTATTTCAAAAGCCGCGGAGATTTGTTTTAGGTGACACTACGGGTGTTGATTCAGCGGGAGGATTTATCGAGGTCAATATAGTTTTTAATTATTTTAAATTTAGTTATTGTGAGTGATCACTGTTGAAACTTAAGGTGGTTATTAATTACAGTAACTTAGTTTGTAGACGACTAAAAAGTCTCTGCCAGCGTTTTCTGTATGTTTGTAGTGTAGACGGCAATGCCCACTTGACACAGGTGTGATCCAAGGTGTTAATATAACGACGATGCTGCCGTCTAGATACTGATTTTGATATCACGTTCTTATAACTTCTTATAATTTTTATTACTGACGACCAATAATTTATTGTTCATACTTTTATTTTATTTTTTTTTTTTTTCATTCATTGCGGACTTACAGTTAACGTTTACTTGAATGGTGGAGTATTTGTTTTTGTAATTATTACTCAAATTCACGTTTATCTGCCTTTTAAATTAGTCTAGATTTTTTAGCCTAGAACAGTTCTATTCTTCTGTTAAGAATTTTAATTAATCACTTTTTTATTAATGTATTAATTCTGAGATTTAAAAAAATTATTTTATCTTTAAAGACAGTTAGTGGAATTTTTACTTTGGCAATTTATTATAAATTAAATTGGTGCAGAAAAAAATAAAGTTAGTGCTATAAAATATTTTTACTAATATTCTGAATGTTTATAATTTTTTTTTGACTTAAAAAACTGTTTTTAAAATCTTTGTATTTTTTTTCAATATTTTTATATGAATAGCTAGTAATAAAAATTAATATTTCTTAAGGAGGTAAAAAAAAAAAAAAAATAAAACTCGACCCATTAATTTCAAACTAAATCTTAGAGATTATATTATTAATTAATTTGATCAATTAATAAATGAACAACTCTAAAATAAAATAAGTATGACAAACTAATAGAATACCTCATGATAAAATTTTCTAGCATAACTATATATGGCCTAATATGTGCATATATAATTTTTTGATATGGCCATATATTTGCTGGTATGTAAATTGGCTATATCAGGATATATATGGCCATATTAAGCTTGATGTACCCGTATATGACCATATATGGCCTCATATATACATATATAATTTTTTAATATGGCCATATATCATCTGATATATCTTGATAAGAATAATTTTCATTTCAGGCCATATATCTGCGCATATATGGCCATATCAGATTTGATGTATCCCTATATGACCATATGTGGCCTTATATATGTATATATAATTTTTTAATATGACCAGATACCTTCTGATATGTAATTTGGCCATATATCAACACACTTCAGAATATATATGGGCATATTAAGCTTGATATATCCTGATATGACCATATATGCATACATGATTTTTTATTTGGCCATATACGGCCTAATATATGCATTGATGATTTTTTATATGGCCATATATCATCTGATAAGAATAATTTTCATTTTAGGCCATGTGAAAATATATCAGCACATATATGGCCATATCAGATTTTACATATTTTGGCAATTGGCCAAATATGTTCTGATATGGCAACTCGCCATATTTGTTCTGATATGGCAATTTGCCATATATGCTCTGATATGGCAATTTGCCACATCAAAACACCAGTGCATATATGGCCATATCCGGTTTGATATATATTAATATGGCCTCATATGCGCATATATACTTTCATGATATGGTCATATATGATCCGATATGTTATGATCTAATTAATTTTTATAGAAGGACATATATGGTCTTATTAAAAAGTGTTATTTATGTGCATATCAGGCCATCAGAAATTTTGATATGGCATATAAGATGTATATGCCATATACGAAAATGTTTTTATGGGATAATATCTGAATTTAGGTAAAAAAATACGGATTAAAATGTGAATTGTTAATTATAGATGGATTATAGGAAAAGTGTCTGCATCAGTACAACAGATAATGCATAACGAGAATGAGTAATGAGAATAAGTAATATACCTAAATTAAGAAAAAGAGATCACTAACTCATTACATGTTCCTGAAGTATAGTATTAATTAAATACACACGTGTCTGGTTTATGATCTCTAAATTCACACTCCAATAAATCTTTCCTAGTTTATTGTAGTTTAAATATGTAATTATAATTAATAATTACACAAAACTGGTTTTATAGTCAATAATTATTTAACGACGTCATAAAAAATTCCCTCTCATTCAGACTTAAGGCTCCTTTTTATACTTGTATAAATAAATATCTCTGTATACATATGATTGAATTATTCTTTTCGGCAGAGTAACAACGGCTCTCGGGATCGTTAGATCTCGAACTCATCATAGTTTTATTTCTTTTTTTTTTTTTTCTAAATTTTAAAATGTCTTATCGCGATTTGTTGTCTTGACAACGCAGAGTAAACACCGCTGATAACATTTACAAATATATATAATAAAATTTTTCTTTTTAGTTTGTACTACTATAATGCGACATTTATATACTTTATTAATAAAATAAACAATTTGTTGCTTAATTTTTTTTTTAAATTGTATTTATGGAGTTTTTTAATTATTTTATTACACTTAATGCTGTACGGGCTGTTTTTAGTTACCAGAATGTTCATCAATCATTAATAATCAAGATAGTAATCCTGGAAGCGGCCAAAAAAATTGTCGAATTAACTCCATTTTTATTTATTAGCTTAAGAAGAATTTTAAGTGTTAAAAGTCATCAATCTGGTCCGTATTTTTGTTTTTTATGGAAACAATATTTGCTAAATAAATTTTTTTAATAATTTTAGAGTAATACACAAAAAAAACTAAAATTTAATAAAAAAATTTGCTTTAAAATTTCATTATTGTTTTAAATTATAATTCAAAACATTTATGAACAGAATCAAGGATATAAAAAATTTTTTATTGATAAGAAAATTAAAGAGGAAAATTTTTTATCTAAAAATATTTTCTAAGTTTAAGAATTTTTTCCACTTGATTAAAAATGTCCAAATTCTTCAAAATTATTTTTTTGGTTCAATTTTTTAATAAAATTGATTTTTTTTTAGGGTACTAATTTAATGAAGCACTTTACTATTTTTACCTTGCAATTTTATTATTTTTTCATTCATCAAATTGTAACAAAAAAATATTTTTAAAAAATTGCACTTAGAGTTTTTCAAGTTTTTAACAA